AATCAAGCGGGGCACTAATTTTCCCGGCGGCAGGTGACCCCTCCGCATCGCCAGCAGACACGGTGACATCATGCTGTGACTTATGATCACAGTCTTTCACCTCAAACATGTGGTCAGTGGCCAGTCGCGTTCTAACGCGCCTCGTTTTGGTCGGGATCGCCTCGGAGATCCGTCGGCCCCGCGGTCGACCAGCAGAGACGGATCTGTTCGAGGTCAGTAACCCCTGGCCAGCGCCAGATGTCACAAACGCAAAACGTGAATGGGGAGGGGGATGGGGCGGCAGGTTGGCCGCGGACATACGGACAGACGGCGCCTGATTGATCCTATTGCGTTTGAGTACCATCTCTGCAGGCTGCATTACGTAATCGCGGTTTCTACCCAATGGATCATGGATGGTATGCCTCCCAATTTCTAATTCCCATTTTTTTCGCTCTTCTAATAACAGGGAAATCACACAGTCCGTAAATCGCTCTGGTTTTGGTCGGATAAAGTGGCCTGGACGACAAATAATTTTTGCAAACATATATATTTCGGATTAGGGAAACATAAGTAGGTGGCGTCAGCGGCGATATAACCCGCAGATCTCTGATTCAGCCAGCAGGAGCCATTTGCCGGAGTGAACCAGGAAACCTATTTCTACATCCAGCCGGGCGGAGCAGCTAGTCAGAGCAAGCACACCACTGTTTGCAAATTTCACCTCCAACAGTTCAAATTAAAACCAATATCTCCCCGCTACTCAAAAATATAAAATAATTTAAAAATGAAACAAACACAGGCATACGCTTTGCAATAAAATATATATGGTTCTACCATATTATTGTAAGATCACATAATTCACAGCGCCCGCTGACAGACTACTCGTGTCTCCCCATACACAGGTAAGCAAAGCTGCACCGGTCTTGTTAGCTTAGCTAGTCAAATGGACCCAATCATGTGAAACCGACAAATACCAACAGAGCATGCATAATTTCCTACAACCCATTCAAATCTTTTGAACGCAATCTGAGACATTCAGCACACTGCTCGAGTTATAATGAACCCCTTACCTCTTTGATGTATGTAAACAATCCCTAAAAATTAGCCAATTGACGATTTAAAACATGTAAATGCTCTTGCCAACACAGAATATATCCAATTGTTTCCTCCCTGCTGCAAACCGCTGATAGTTCGCCTGTTCTTTTCTCCAACTCCCTGGCACCAATAAACCGGAAGCAACGCCCTATTTTATCCCCTCCCTTTCCAAATTCCAGCCAAACACGTTTGGAATATTTGGAGTGGCGGCCACGTCCTCCAATCACGGTCGCGTACAGTGAGTCCTACTGTCTCTGTGGAAAATATGGAATGCGGGTGTGACTGGGCTGGCCAGTAGTATGGAGGAAGTGGACGACGCCGATTTATAAGTGATTAACAACTAATTTTGACAAAAAAATAGTAAAAATTGAACAAAATTATATATCTTATGACTAAACCACCACTGAAAACAATTGGCCTGGTAATTTCTAGGAATGCACGTGCATAGCGCTAATCACGAAATAGTTTACATATTCAGAAATACAGACCTGAATGGTCTGCAGCTTGCATTTTCTGTTAATAATCTGGCGTTTAAATATTGGCCTCAAAATACTGAAAATGCCTACAGAGAACTGCAATTTTTCTCTATAATCTCAAAACGATCCGACAAGTTAGATATACCTAAATTGTTTTTCCCATAAAGTTACAACCATGTCCTCATTGATATTTTTTCCAAGCATGGTGGCTGTTTTGCTACACACACACGCATGGGAAGACCATTCTCCTTTTTGGATACGTAACTTTCCTAAATGATGGCAGCCTGAGTTTTCAACGACAAACGTAGAACAATTAAAATAGTGCCCTCTATTGGTTTCATAGATGAACGTCAGTTTGGGTTTACATGTCTTAGTTTCTACCTTCCTCTATATCTAATATCGATTGACATGATTTTATGCAGATAAAGCACACACTTACCTTAATTTGTTGTGTACACCTCACGCATTTTCCCAGAAGGAATTGGTTTTGGAAAGACTACAGCCTATGCTATCCAACAAAATCCTAGTAGAAATTTTTCTTAAGCATAACTATAAAAGATTAATATACGCTACCTAAAAAAAATGAAAGGAACACGTTTAAAACACATCAGATCTCAATGGGAAAAAAATCATGCTGGATATCTCTACTGATATTGACTAGGTAATGTGTTAGGATTGAAAGGATGCCACATCGTTTGATGGAAATGAAAACTATTAACCTACAGAGGGCTGAATTGAAAGACACCCCGAAAATCAAAGTGATAAAATGCGGCAGGCTAGTCCATTTTGCCGAAATGTCATTGCAGCCACTCAGAATCGTACTCAGTAGTGTGTGTGGCCCCCACACGCTTGTATGCATGTCTGACAACGTCGGGGCTGCTCCTAATGAGATGATGGATGGTGTCCTGGGGGATCTCCTCCCAGATCTGGACCAGGGCATCACTGAGCTCCTGGACACTCTGAGGTGCAACCTGGTGGCGTCAGATGGACCGAAACATAATGTCCCAGAGGTGTTCTGTTGGATTTAGGTCAGGCAACCGTGGGGGCCACTCAATAGCATCAATTCCTTCAGGAACTGCCTGCACATTCTCACCATTGTCATGCACCAAGGGGAACCCAAGACCCACTGCACCAGCGTAGGGTCTGACAATGGGTCCAAGGATTTCATCTCGATACCTAATGGCAGTCAGGGTGCCATTGTCTAGCCTGTAGAGGTCTGTGCGTCCCTCCATGGATATGCCTCCCCAGACCATCACTGACCCACAACCAAACCAGTCATGCTGAACAACGTTACAGGCAGCATAACGTTCTCTACGGCTTCTCCAGACCCTTTCACATGTGCTCAGGGTGAACCTGCTCTCATCTATGAAAAGCACAGGGCGCCAGTGGTGGACATGCCAATTCTGGTATTATATGGCAAATGCCAATCTAACTCAACAGTACCGGGCAGTGAGCAGAGGGCCCACTAGAGGGCATCGGCCCCTCATGCCACCCTCATGAAGTCTGTTTCTGATTGTTTGGTCAGAGACATTCACACCAGTGGCCTGCTGGAGGTCATTTTGTAGGGCTCAGTGAGTGTCCAGGTATCGCCCCCTGCTGTCAGTAGTGACACAGACCGTAAAAAAAGATGGGGAGGGGAAAATGTCAGTGGCCTCCACCTGTTAAAGCATTCCTGTATTTTCAATGCATACCAATTTTTGATTATGTTCTAACTGATTTATTTAATGAGCAGATACTTTCATATAGCTTATCACCATTCAACCATCACATAAGTTCATGATATGTTTAGGAAAATGATTGGCTTCACCTGTGACCCTAACCAGGATATGCAATTAGAAGATGGATGGATGGATGGATGATTGACTTTAAAATAGAAATATTTATCACAGCCAACCTGCTTCATCTGTCATTTGAAAATTCAGCACTCTTGCTAGCATCGGAAGTCTACGTAGATTTTTGAGATTCTAACAGGCAATGTTTTGATTACAGGAGTTCGCCACCATGGCACCTGGAGCCCAGGGTAAGTGTCTAAGTTTTAAACAGATTAATGCTTCAATCTAGTTAGTCATAGGTGTGTTCATTCGCATGGAAGCATGCGGGTGACATGCTTTAGCATTGGTGCAGCACGGTGTTTGATACATAGATTTTATTGGAGAACACTCATGTCTTTCAAAATCCACCAAGAGACACTGCAGTAACAACAGCTTTAATAAGTAGTGATGAGAGAAACAAGGCTCTGTAACACATACTGTGTGGGATTATCAACCATCCATCCATCTGTTTTCTGTAACTGCTTGCCAGGGTTGTGGGCAGAGGTGGAAAGTTTAGGTCTAGAGATTAAAAGTCCAGGCTAAGATTACTTTTACTCTCTGGACCTGAACTATCCACCTCTGGTTGTGGGGGTCTGAAGTCTATTGGTGTAAGCAGGGAACAACCCAGGATGGGGCACCAACCCATCACAGGGCACATGCACGCATGCACACATCTATGGGCAATTAGATAACTCCAGTCAGCCTCAGAATGTTTTTGGACTGGGGGAGGGAACCAGAGAACATGGAGGAAACCCCACAATGACAGGGGGAGAACATACAAACTCCACACACATGGAGCCATAGCAGGGATTCAAAGCCTGATCCCAAAGCTGTGAGGCAACAGTGCTAACCACTGAACCACCACGCCGCCTCAGGCTTACCATATACACTTCAATTTAAATTTACTACATTTAAACCACTTGTCAATTGGCTGGTTGTCTTAAACCAGGGTCTGACTGACCCACATCACAAACACACTAAACTTTTCACAGTGAGGGTTTCAAAGTTTTTCCAGTCACTCATGATAAAGATAAAGTAACATATAAAGAACTGTCTGTATCCACTTGTTTAGTGTTCTACCACAAGGTGGAGTTATATTACAATTTCTACAAGAATAACACGCCTGTTCTTAAGGAAGATTGTATCATTCCTTGTGGGATAAAAGAAGCGGTCACCCATTCCTGGGAGCTGTAGTCAGCACCACTGTGAGGAGCCTGTGCTTTGCATGAATGTCTGCTTTTGGTATAAAACACAAACTCAACACATCACCATTACATTATCTACAGATCTCAGCACATCTTTCATGGGACGTTTCCAATGACAGTCAATGCACAGCAAGCTAGTAGTTCTCAAACGCTCGCTCACTTTCATTGGCCACGTTTTCTCCCTGTATCTATAACTCTAACCCTGAGGTTCATCCTCACTATCTTTTATTGTTCTCTCGTATCAGTCACAAGCAGGAGCGTCACTAGAGATTTCTGAAAAGGGTGGCTAAGATTTTGCTGCGGGTTCTAATTTTAATATAAACGAATGAGAGCACATAATATAAACTAATTAGCATTGATTTATTTGATAGGGGGGTAAAGCCCCATGAAACAGCCCTCGTGACACCCGTGTGCTAAAGTCAGACAGTACACCTTACCCTTCTTTGGTGGGGAAGCCGTCTCAGGAACTTTTTCTGTCGACTTCTTTGGCGGGTCAAAAGCGTTCTTCATCTGCTCCACCTTCACAGTCTGCTCGCCCTTCCTCGCCTCTTCAAGCCTCATCCAGCTCTTGCTCTTTTCTTGTATCTGAACTGTCTCCTTGAGGAGCCCAGAGACGTCCCTGGAACCGCGCGGGACGCGGGCTTTGGGGGCAGCCAGGCTGCTTGGCTCAGCCCGGGCGGGGCTCGGGCTCCTCGGGTCGGGCCTGGAAACCTGCTCCATCTCGGTCCCTGTGTCCTGTAGCTCGAGATCAGGTTCCGAGCTGTGCAGGTCCATAGACTGCGGGTCTGCCTCTGAGTCAGCCAAAAGCAAGGCTAGGTAGCGGTCAACTTCAGATAGAGGTAGACGTAATTTGGGCTTTTTGGGGACAGGCGGAGGGGGACCCTTCACCCTCCTTTCTGGCAGGTAACCCAAATCCCGCAAGAAGGCGATGTCATACCCCACTGAATCTACATCAGGGGGAATGTCTGTTTCCTGTGGGTGTCCCGTCATCTGATTGCCTCTATCAAAAGTTGCTCTTAGTCCTCTTTCCTCCACATTGCTGTGGCTCCCAAAATCAGTGTGACTCTCATCATATTGTGTCCTTTGTCTTTTTTCTGAGTATGTTTCTGGCCCAAAATGGGCAACATTTGCTAGCTCAGCTTCAGACAGAATGGAGACTAAGTCCATAGTAGCCCCCCTGCAGTAATCTGCTCCCGCGACATCTGCCCTCGTCCTGTCGCGTGATCTCCTCACCCTGCTAGACTCCGGCAAGCGGGCAGCAAAAGCGAGATAGTCTGGCTCTTTCTCCCATGTCACCTGTGGACCATTCTTTATATACTCATACTCCTTAAAACCAAGCCTGGATGATGCAGGATCTTCTACATCAGGGTTAAAGTGGTCTGAGGGGATTGTAACGGAATACTCACTGTGTTCCCCGGCGCTGCCCATTAACACCAGATCATTCCGTCTTAGGCGGCTCACCTCCATCGGTTCTTCTGGTGATTCTATCTCATAGGGCTTCCTGGTCCTCTCGGCATCCCTCTCGCTGTCCGAATGCAGGCCACGCCCCCGAATCCTCTGCGCCTCCAAAGCTTGCATATCCCCGTGAGGCATTTTTGGCTTTTTTGGAACAGGTGGTGGCGGACCCTTGGCCTTAGCCCTCTTCTTCAGTGAGACTCGATCAAACGGGATACCCGAGGAGAACGCCCCAGCCATGTCCGTGTCCGATTCAGAGTGAATTTCAGACCCAGAGATGCCATCTTTGTGCCTCTCATCCCTTTGTGATGGCCCTGTCTGTCCTCTTTGCATATCACCCTTATGCACGGTGGTACGACAGAGAAGACCTTCGGCTGTGGCCTTTGTATCTCCAGTCTTTATGTCAACATAGCTTTCAGAATTGGGGTTGCCCCCATCTGACAGTCTTGCAGGCCCATTCCCTGTGGTGGTCGGTACTGCTGAATTTGCATCTTCACTTTCTGGTAGGTTTGAGACAGAGCTTGTTTTATCTCCTTCTTCCATTGAGCCGTTTTCCCAAATGACCTCTGAGCTGAGCTCAATATCTGCCATCCTTGTTTCATTCCCTTCTAGGAAGATCTTTGATGTGCGGGTGGTGACAGCAGTGTTATAAGCAGACTCTTCTCTCGTCGTCACCTGTGCAGTTTTCCGTTTGTTCTCATGACTTTGTGGTGCTGGAGGACCTGCTGACAGAGGCCTGGATGGTGCTGTCGTGGATAGTGATAAAGCCATGGAATTAGCACTTAACATAGCACTGCCCTCGTTTGATTGGCTGGCCCTTACCTCCTCTACGACTGGTGTTGATGTTTGCTCCGCCTCTTCTCTTTCTGTCTCTTTGCGATTTGCTGTCTCCTCGTCGGAACATGGGTCATTTCCTAAAACAGCAGTCATGGGCTTGACTGCATTGGCATTAGAGCATGGCTCTACCAGCTCTTTGAGGGAAGCAACAGGTGAGTCCATCTTGTTTTCTGGCAGGTGGGAGGAGCCTACACAAGATTGATTTGGTTCTATTTGTGAGACGGTTTCCATCTTTGGTGGTTGAGAGACAAGAGGAATACCAGACTTTTCATCGCCACATAATGCCCCTCTCAGTGCTGGTTGTTTTGAGTCTTTTTCGAGGCCAGACAGAAAAGTAAGCTGGCAGGTCACGGGTTCCGTTACCGCTGCAGAAGAATGTTTTCGTCTAGCAAGATGGATTTCAGGCACTGTATCACCTCCCTCGGTCTGTTTCTTTAAGTTCCCAGACATGATCCCCACTGCTGAAGGAGCTGTTGTTGTTTTGAGTCCTGGTATAGCTGAAGCAACATCTGTTTCTTCAGCATCCTCAGCAGGAAGTTTTGCATAAGTGTCATCTCTATTCGCTACTTTGCTTAAAGTCTCCAGTTCACAAGCTTTTGGGAAGCTTGGTACCTCTGGGAGCGGAGGGAGCACATCACTGAGATGATGATGTTCTTCTTGCCATGTGGAACCCCGAGCCATGTTTTTAACCTCACACTCCTCATCTGTAGAAGCTGGAGGACCCGATGAAGCCAGTTTACATGGCTTTGGTGCTGAGGGGGCTGATGCTTTCCCTGGAACCTCAGCCTCATTCGCATGGCTGCCCTTTGCTGTCCTGCTGCTCTCTGCTCTGTTTGTCATCTTCGTTTGATGGTCCTTCTGCACATCCTTATGAGGAAGATGTTTTGCCTGGCCCTGTTTGCCTTTGGAACCTGGCCTTTCCTCAGCCATAGCAGCAGGCTTCCTAGCAGTTTGTAATTCATCAAGGACAACAACTGAACATCCGTCAGCAGTGCCTAAGCTGCATGCTTCTGGTGATGTCACAGTCCCCTTCTTACCCTCAGTGTTAATTTGTGGCTGAAGAGCGATGGAGACAGTGTCATCATCCCTGATTTTCTCTTCTCCTCGCTGACACGGCTGTTCCAATTTCTCTTTTTCCCTGCTGATTTTCACATTTGATGTCATCTGGGACAGTTTATCTTCTTCCTGTACCGGCCAGGGCTTAGAGGTTGATGACTTTGCTCGTTTTTGAAGGGCACTGTTTGGAGAGGCATGGTTCTGAGAAAGCTGACTTGAGGTCTTTGCGTTCTCACCGGCAGCTCTGGGTCTAGCCACTCTCTGTAGATGAGGGTCATCATGTAATGGCACTCTGGGATCTAAGAGGATAGCTGGGGTCTTCTTGGTGTCTGAAGGAGCTGGGACACCTTCCAGTGAAGTGTGTTTAATGGGAATTTCTTCAAACAAAGTTCCTTCCTGTTTGACTCTTGCCTTAATTGTGTCTAGTGACATTGGGTCTTCTTTCTTGCTTTGCTTTGCTTTCTCTCGGACTGGTAAATAACTGGTAGCAGCAGGACACTTTTTGTCCTCCAGTAAATCCCCAGTCTCCTCTGATTTGTTGTCTCTCTGTTTTGTTGAAGTACTGAGTTTGTGGTTTGATCCACCTGCAGAAGATAAGTTTAGGGTGTCCACACCATTATCTTCTCTCAGTGACAGATTGGTTTCTTCAGACTGGTTTGTTCTTTCTGCATCCATCGCTGGCCATTTGCCTGCAGTCAGCTTCTCCTCACCTTGCTTATCAACATCTCTTTTCCCAAGTTGTAGTTTCGGAGTTGCACCTTTGATGTTGCTCTTTGATGGACAGTCCTTGTGCTTGACTTCAGGGGAAAATATGTAAAATGTCTTTGTTATCGCAACTATCTTAGGATCAGGGATGATGGGTAAAACACCAGCAGTATCACTATATTCTCCATCCCTTTGGTCACAGATGTGCTTCTCTTTTTCACGGCTGACCTTAAGGTCTGAGGGGTTTGTGGTTGCATGAGCTGGCTCCATCTGAAGAGGAGGTTGCTCCTCTAAGAAGTCGCCCCGTATATAAGGGTCCACCCTGGGGGAATGATGATCAGATGTATCTGCTTTGATGTGGTCTGGTGTTGATTTTTTCTCTGCTTGTTTACCTGTTTCTTCTGACCAAGCTGTCTCTCCAGACCCCTGGCTTTCTGCAGGCAAAGGAGGATATTTATCAGCACAATGTTTATGGTCCCCCGTGTGGCCTTCCTCCCCCCCCTGGGCACCACCTTGTGATCTTGATTGCCTCAGTGGGTGATGCAAGGGCTCTGGGTTATCTTTGGAAGGACACACCGGCGTACCTCGATTGGCTCTAGCTTTACCGCCGTTAAGGGCATTTTCCTCCCTCCGCGAATTGTCTGCTGGCACAGCGAGAGCAGAGCAGGCAGCCCCGCCTTGGCCCTCTCCTAGCGTCCGAAGGTCTCGGTCCTTCTCCATTTCAGGATCGGTCACCCAGTCGCCACCTTCATTCCCCACATTCTCAGAGTTCATTCCTTCCTCCCTGCTCCCTCTCTTCTTGCCCTTTCTGTTGGGTGGGGGTTTAGTCTCTCCCCCTCCCAGGATAACAAAATCGTCTTTGATAAAATCTCCCGAGTGTTCTTTACTGTCAGAGCGACGTTCTGCTTCAGAGTCTGGGCTGTTCTCTCTGTCTGCTGTGGCTTTACCACCCTTGGGGGGAGCACCATGCATGTCCCTCCCCAGGCATTGGCTGGTGTCTCTCCCAGGAGCTCCGCCTCTCCCGTCTCCGGCCAGGCTGCAGACCCTCACATCTCCGAGCTCCCCTTCATCCCAGCTCGCGCCGGCTGCCTCCGTCTCGCCTCCTTGGGGCTTCTGCTCCGTCTCATCCCCGCTGTTGCCCTCGTCCTCCTTTAAATCTCGCCCTGAGTCCTTGTCCTGTGTCTGCCCCATTCTTGTCTGCAGGACGACAGAAGATAATTCACAGTTAACCTCCACAGTAAAGCACTTGCCACTTCCCGGTGATGATGTGAAGCTGGCCACCAGTCCAGCTGTCCTTATCCGGCACGGAAGCCTGTGTCCGCACCTCTCTCTCTTTCTCAAGCACTCTTTTTGCCTCTCATGTCTTTTGACCTTAATTGGAAACAGAATAATTATATATACTTTCCCTATGTATTCCACCTGTGTTTTTTGCCAAGTTAAAATGCTGTTAGCAGAGCTTTCGGATGGTAAAGTTCTCTCTCACTCTGGCTCCGTTCATGCCTTTGCCCTCCGCAGCGCTGTGGAGTCTATAATTAAAATCTGTCTCATGCAGCATGGCTGAACAACTGTCTGTGAGTCAGAGGACGGAATGGGAAATGACAGCTGGATAACAGATCAATCACAGGTGCTCCGGCGGCATGCGAGCGGAGCCGCTCTTTTCAGGAACCGGACTCTACTGCCAGTGTTGCTCGCGTTTCTGATGTTTGTGTCACCCTATTTGCATGCTCCTGCTGTCATCCCATACTTATCAAATAGCCCCATAGTGGCTTGCAGAAATAGGTGGTTTAGCTGAGGGTAAACTGAGTAAACTGAGCTAGAGAAAATGCTCAGATGAGAGGATAATCAGCAGCATTGTTTTAGCTGTACACTCCTCCTCTAATAAAGCAGGGGGCAGCAGCAGATGAAGCTGGTATAAGATGCAACGTTCTGTGGGGCGAATCTCAATATGCATACTTGACCGTAGTTGTGTTCACGCGTACCTGTGTTACATCATCTTCCATTGCCGAACACCGGTTCCAATACTAAAAACACAAGTACACAAGGAGGGGAAAAATACCCGGATGTTGGTCTTGCGCCGCCACAAATATCAAGGATACATCGGTTGCATGCTCACCAAATGACACCAATCCCATGATTCATTTCGGCCAAAGTTCGCTCCTGGGAGACAAGCTAGCAAGATCGGTCTTGCCAAGAGCACAAGTGTGATTATTGATATTGAGAAACACCCCTTGATCGCTAAGCCAATGTCCATCCCTGGCAGGGAGAATTGTGGGTAAGATTCCTACCTACCGCGTGAGGCTGAAGATCCATGTCAAACGACGGGCAGGATGTTACAGAGCAATGGGAAAATCACACACACCAGGAATATAAGGACCAAGTGCTAATGTTACGACCATGCACACTGAACGTAAGGAAGTATCTTTCAATGACGGACCAGCATATGGACCACAGCATGGATGTAAATATGTCGGCAGCATGTGCTGAAGTGCGCCCCCAAGAGGACGGTACAGAAAGGACACTGAATGGCTCTCAGCACCTTTGGAGCTGCTCTCCATCAGCAATGTTGCTGTTTTTTTGCTATATAAGGGGGTTAAATGTAAAGCATTGTCTTAGACCTTTAGGGTGAACAGTGCTAATGAAAACTGAGGTCACCCTCTATGTTGGTGCTTTTGTTGTGTTTCAGTTCCAGGCAGATGAATAATGACTGTAGAATCCCTGCAGGATCCCATGTGAGAACAGGTGAGGGATTCCGATACTGAGCCCTGTGACATTCATCCCTCTCATCTCCCACTCCTCAGTTTCCCTCATTGTTTCGCTTCATTCCAGACCTCCGTGGTTCCATGAGGCCAAAGCTGCTTTGCATATTCAACCCTGTCATAAATGATTCTGGAAGGAGTGAGCCAACTTCCATTTAGCTCTGTGACCTGGGATTGGATCAAACGACCCTTCTGTTTACGGAACAGTTGTCAGACGCAACTCTGATAGGTCCTTCAAAACTTTTAAAAGATCCATCGTTGATTAAGTCAGAACCAAACGATTATCTCCTGAAATACGGCAGAGCCGGACGAGGGCAGAGGCTAATGCGCATTTCGCCGGAGTACCTTCTTGGCGCCCTCGGGTGACCCGTGTCGCCGGGACTTTGTGGTTCCTGACGAGATGACTGGATCGGCAGGATGCCGTAGGGCTTCTCTAAATAGCAGAGTGCCAGATATCTCGGGCAGGCAGCCATTTTTGTTAGTTTAGCCTGATAAATCGTCCAGATGCATAGTTGAGTGATGGGCCTGAAACAGAAGGCACGTCTGGCATTTATGTCCGTGTCCCTGTATGATCCAGAATGTTATTTTAGGCCAAATGCTGTGGGGGGGGGGGATCCACCCCAAGCAGTGTACCTGAGGCACAGCTGTACATCTGGCTGCTGTTGTCGACACCTTACTCAGCGTGGTAACCATGGTGATAAATCGCCATGATAACCTGTCTGACACACTACCAGACTCTGGTTTTCTAAAGCAGGCAAAATGATACCTGGCTACATGAGAAGCCAAAGATGCAGGCTACGGAGACCCAGTACACTTTCTGAACTCATGTTCACAGGTCCTCCACGTTGCAGCCCTCATGTTTATCAGAGACGTGTCACCCCCTGGCAGTCATGACATGCTGGCACATTCCCAAGGTGTGACACCCGGAGAGAAAAAACAGGCCGCTGCCTCCCTGTGGCCGTCTGACATCACCGAGGGGCGCATGAGTGCAGTGAAAGACCCCTTCATTAGTTATATTGGTCAGTAGAGTTCATTCCAAATTTGGTTCTCGTTGTTGCGTTTTATGACATGAAAGTGACATGATTCTGTCCCGAATTCCTGCAGAAACTTATCAAAGAGAGGGTCAGAGAAGCTTAGACCTTAGAGCCGTGAGAGACTTGGGAAGGGTCTCCTAGCAGCCTAGCCAGAAGGCCACTCAGCTGTCAGTGCTTTCGTGAAGCTGCAGTCACCCCAATCTAATTAATAAGCCTTTAAAATAATGCATACTCCCCCACCGTGGCCCACCAACCCCCCCGGAACCACTGGTCCACAGTGCCATCCTGCTCGGTCCCCTGCATTGTCACCCGAGAGCCCCCCCGGGCAGCAGACACTCTGGTGTACATGGGCTCCAAGTCACTTCTCCACTTCTGCCCCCATTTCCCCTGTCTGAAATCCTGCCCTCCCCAGGAGAAGCAAACATACTCACCCTGTATCGATAGCAGCCACCTCCCCGCAGACCCTCCGGCGCCTCCGGGACCTCGGATCCTCCTTTGCGGAGCCGCGTCCTGGTCCGGAGAGCCCAGCCGGCACCGTCACGCCTCCCTTCTGCCTTCCGCGCCGTGACATCAGGCCTCATTTGCTTAATGCAATAAAAGTGTCTCCACTTACACAGCACTGTCAGTCAGGCATCCAGCGATCAGATAAACTGCCAAGGGACTTTCTGAGGGGTCTGTTGAGTGACCAAACCCCCCCGTTACACATTTCAGTGTCCAGCTCTAAAGTTAGTCCAGTCCGCTAATTTTACACGCCTGTAAAGTGATATTTCCAACAGCTAGCAAAACATATTTAGCCACACTGTGCTTTGCTCTCATAGTCCCGCAAGTTGCTGTATTTCACGCGTGGAAATGACAGGCACGTGGATTATATCACGTTAACTTCCCCTTAGAGTATGGACTTGATCCGGGTCCAAAGCCGAAAGGGTGACGGCTCAAGGCACGAGAACCGAACATGACCACCAGGGGGCTACAGACACCCCAATAAGGCAGGGAGAGGTGAGGGGAGTCGAGGCATGACGAGCCCACCGTCTGTTTTTCAGTCCTGACCTATTTCACAGTCGGCATGGGAAACAGGTCACAGTAAACAAGTGTGCTGGAAGGCGTCAGGAATCGGTTTCACTGAAGGACTTTAAAAGAAAGTCATCAGCTTTTGTCCTATGACTCCCTCCAGTGTCGTGTCCATGGTGCGAGAGGTCGGTGCCTCTAAATTGCGGTTTGATGTTGCCATTAGCACGAGGGACACGGCTTGAGGAACACGGCTTGAGGGACACGGCTTGAGGGACACGGCTTGAGGGACACGGCTTGAGGGACACGGCTTGCTCTGCAGCGGAAATTGTGTCTTGAAC